GTCAAGGCACGACTCATGAGATAGATCGTCATGGCATCTCCAGATCCGTCTATCGAACTAGGTGGTCACTAGGAAGCCATCGCGTGGTTTTCCATCGCTTCCTTGCCTATACGGGCAACCATCTGCCCGTTAATGTCTGGCTAGAGCTATGGCCACGCGGCGCCTCCATTCTCTGGCTTCTGAATTCATTGTTCCTGCGTCAAATCGGGTCTGGGTGGCGGCATATCCGGTATTTGGCTACGATGAGGCGCTTGCTTAATCGTGGAGCTTGTTATGGCAATGATGCCTCTTCAGGGTCTCGTCCGTTTCGCCCCAGATACCTGGTATGATGGCATAGAATCATGGTTCACGCGAGAAGAGACTTCTAGTGCAATCCCTGATTCGTACTTAAGCCTGAAACAAGAACTTCCGGAGTGAACTTGACCTTCTTTCATAACCAACACTCTCATTCATTATCAAGATACGCTCTCTTCCCACCTCTTGTCCCTCCTTCCATTAATCTTCACACCATCATTTGAACCATGATTCAACTTAAGAGTTTCGCAGTTATTGCTACCACCCTCCTTGGCTGTTGTCTAACAGCACCTACAACTCCTTCTGGCGTCGACAGCACAATCCCTGGCAGCTACATCATTACCCTCAAGTCTGAGATCAAGGCTCCTGCAGTTAAGGCTCATATGAAATGGGTTGACGGCGTCCACAAGCGAAGTCTCGAGAAGCGTGATGGCGACAATGGCGTTGAGAAGACATTTGAGACCGAGGCTGGTTTTCACGGATACTCTGGTACATTCGATGATGAGACGGTTAAGCAGATCAAGCAGAGCCCTGAGGTAAGATAACTAAACCCTAACAAAGTTCTTGATGTCTAACAACTGAAAAAGGTCGTCCGCGTTGAGCCTGACCGTAGAGTCAAGTTAACATGGAACGCTTCCAAGCGTCAAGAACAACCCGTGGAACCAGCACCACCAGCAGAAACGACAAGTCAAGAAAGCGAGGACACTGAAGAGGAGGATGAAAATGATCAGCTTGAAAAGAGGAGCGAAATTAACCAAAAGTCAAGCACATGGGGCCTCGGAACCATTTCACACCGTAACAAGGGCTTCCAGAACTATCTCTACCACAAACAAAGCGGTTCTGACTCGTTTGCCTACCTTGTTGATAGCGGTGTCCGTATCACCCATAACGAGTTCCAAGGCCGGGCCAAGAATGGCTGGACAGCCTTCCGAAAAGATTATGTTGACCGACTGGGTCATGGTACTCATGTTGCTGGAACCATTGCGGGAAAGACCTTCGGCGTCGCTAAGAAGGCTAAGATCATTTCCGTCAAAGTCTTTCAGGGCGACTCTGCAGATCTCTCCGTCATTCTCAACGGTATTGAGTGGGCCGTCAACGATATCATCAAGAAGAAAAGGCAAGAGTTCTCTGTGATCAACCTCTCTCTTGGCATCGATGGTGTATCTGGGGCGCTCAACGACATTATCAAGAATGCCGCCAAGTCCGGAGTCATCTTTGTGGTCGCCGCCGGAAACCAGGGAACAAATGCCAATACGAAATCTCCAGCTTCAGCCCCTCAGGCCATTACTGTTGGAGCCATTGACAAGAACTGGAGAATCCCCAGCTGGTCCAACTACGGCAGCTCTGTAGATATGATGGCTCCAGGTGTCGATGTAGTTTCCGCCTCGTGGCTCAGTGACAACGGCACGTACATTGAGAGCGGCACCTCAATGGCCACTCCTCATGTTTCTGGTCTTGTGCTGTATGCGCAGTCCGTGTACGGCATTACCGATGTTGATACCACAACCAAGTACATCAAGAAGTACGCCACCAGCAACAAGGTCGTTGGTAGCCGCCGAGGCTCACCAAACCTGATCGCCAACAACAACAACTTTGCTCAAAGCAGATGATTCTCGATTTACTTGACCTGAGTTCGACGAAAAGAAGAAACTGCGGAAAGGACAGATGATCAAGCAAGGCGTTTGGGATTGAGAATAAGCATACACGGGATAGCGACTGTTTTGTTTTTACATAGACTTTGATTCGATCTTTACAAATACATATCAGTACCAACTATTTTGACCTGGGAGTCTTGATGAACATTTCCCCTGCGATACTTCACTTCACGAGACATGTCATTGAAGACTTGAGAGGCCCTTAACCTTTCTATGGCCAGAATCCAAGGCGATCCAGTCTTAGACCTTATTTCCGGGTTGAGTTAGTTGCACCTTCTCAATCTCTCACAATACAAGTTTCAATTATGCGCTCAGAAATATCTCATATACTCTTAATCAAAGCGAGCTCAAAATAGCAGTGGTGTCAGGCCTTGTCCTCTGTTTATGGTCAGCCCAATATCCCATTTGAGCATGAATGGACACAAATGGCGATGAAGTCCGTGTTGATTGAGAGAATAATTTCCTTTCACTTATATGTATCCAGTTCTTGGGATTTAATTATCTCCTGGAAGTATTTTCACGGTGTGTATATGTTGATCTCTCCCGCATCACCGGGTCTGAGAGAAGCACGAACAAGGTTGGCTTCAAAGACTGAATAGTGGACAGATTCTTTTTAAGAATCTCAATTGATGAGAGACTGCCACGACATGAATTTCGCCCGCGCCTGAGATCAGAGATATAAGATAGATAATCTTGAAGAGGGAAACTGCAGTGTCAAAATCGCTGGAGTATCCAGCAGCTTACACGGAAAAGTGGACAGAACGGGCACTATACTAATTCGCGTTAGAGCAACGCCAGACCTGCACGGTTAATCGAACCCCTGCTTGGATCTTGAATAGGTACCTAGGTAGTAAGTATGTACCTCGAAAGATGGAGATGTTCAAATGATGTTCTTTTTCGGGGGGGGGGGGAGCCGCAGTAAAAGCTCCAGCTCTACTAGCACCAACATGTGCTAAGACAGGTACATCTACCTAGAATTATTGATGAGGTTGGCGAAACACGGATTTAGCACTAGATCCTAAATCCGTGGCCCGCCGTGGAGTTATATCAAGCATTATAAAACCCTTCAGTCGCCATTTAAAGGAACCCTATTTCATAGATCTGTTGGGACTTGCCAAAGAATCAACCGCAGTATAGTATTTCAGGTGACTGCTCACATTTTTACCTCGATTCCGTTTCAAAGTGTTGATCCCTGGGTTTCTTCAACTTTCCACTTACAGCCTGAAATAATCAACCACTCCCGAATATCATGCATCTCATCCTTACTGGAGCCACTGGCCTCGTTGGCTCTGGCGTGCTTGACGCTATGCTCAAGTCAAAAGACATCACCAGGATTTCAATACTGAGCCGCAGACCAGTGCCGATGGCAGCAGGTGATCCCAGAGTCAATGTCATCACTCACAACGACTTTACGAGATACAATTCAGAAGTCCTTGATCAACTTCAAGGCGCGAGCGGCGTAGTTTGGGCATTGGGCATCAGCCAGCTCAAGGTGACAAAAGAGTAGGTTTGCATTCAATTGCTTATGGTCCAAGTTTGTATGAGCTGACAAGGTGCGGCAAAGCGAATATGTCACCATCACCAAAGATTTTCCGGTTGCTGCTGCGAAAGCCTTTTCCAAGATATCACCTACCAAGGAACCTTTCCGATTCATATACGTTTCTGGCCATGGAGCTACACTTGAGCCGACTTCATTTACACCCATCTTCGGTCGTGTAAAAGGCGAGACTGAGAGGGCACTTTCTGAGCTACATGCGCCGGCGAAATTCCACGTCGAATCTGTACGCCCTGCTGGGGTAGATGCCACAAATCATGAGGCTATCAAACCATATATTCCCAACCCTGGTATGCTCTACAACGCTATGTATTTGCTCATGGGTCCCCTCATGAGAACGGTACTTCAGTCGTTGCATAGCCCAACGGAGAAACTTGGCCCTTTTCTCATGAATATGGCGATGGGCAAGTATGACAAGCAGTTGGAGGCTGGAGGAAACGACATCTCCAGTATCAACGGTTCGAGGATACTGGAAAATGTAGCACTCCAGAGGTTGCATGAGCAATGACAGAGCTTTGCAACGATGGAGCGCTGTTCGGCGGTGGAATTTTCAAGAATGGACATGTACCGGCTATGATAGAAATGAACCTGTAGATGAAGCTATACATCGGTCATCGCTGAGTACCTAGTGTTGTATAGTGCAGTTGTTCTTGATCATACCTTACTCTGTGAAGATATGCTAAGGCACGTTCCAGGCAATACAGGTAGTTATATCTTGATTTCGGCTGTTGATCTGAACACCTATCGTCCCGAATAAAAACACAAAGGGTATACCTATTTTGAGACGAGAAGTTCATACTAGCATTTCAAACGCCAGCTCAGTGGTTTGTTTCTCAGCAACACCAAGAATCCACTTTGGATGGCTCGCATTCGTTGGGAGTCTAGAGGGTCTAGAAGCAACAGAAGCGGGAAACGGGGAGGTCAGCTTTATTACCTACCAAGATAAGACTAGGCTCTTCAAGCCTCCGCCTCGATTGTGTATCTCTCGTGTCCCTATTAATTGAGGGTATTTAGCTATGGCTTGGCTTTTGTAATTTTGTTCTTTTTGCCTCTGTTCCTTGCATTTTTGTTACATGTCCTTGGTCTTCTGTGGTGCATCGCTACCAGAGGGCGTACACGTATGCCTCACAATCATTGACATTTCTTTATAAGATTTTATACTGAGCCCCGAAGTTCTGAAGCACGTCATTTTGTGTATGTTAGGTTTTTACCTCAGTACCTAGGTAGGTAGGTAGGTAGGTAGGCATGCAGTTTCTACCTTATGCCAAGCATCACAGAGGCTAAGCTTTTTGCTCATCGGCACGCCCAATTCCCTGTCAACAAGTTCTTGGCCTGAGTCATGACATTTATTACTCACACATCGCCGTCCGACGAAAGAGTCACTGAATTCAAAGACCTTGGTCAATTCTTCATCTCAACTACGTTATTCAACTAACGAGCTTCAAATTTTCATCGCTACAACGCCGGCTATAAAAGACTTCATCCATGGCTTGTTCCTAAACCTTGTTGGAAGCATCCTTCTCGCTCTCATCAGCCTCTCGGGCGTTCTGCTCCACAACCTCAGGCGGATCCTCGATCTTGGTCATCTTGTAGATGATCATAGACGCGAACAAATCACCGGAAACGTTGACAGCGGTACGGAAGCGGTCGAGGAACCAATCAATAGCCACGATGACAGCATACATGTTGGTGAGGTCGACATTGACCGAGCGAGCAATCATGATTGAAAGAACAAGCGAGGCCGAGGGAATCGGAGACACACCGATAGAGGCCAGCGTTGACAGCAGTGCAACAATGACATAGTCGGCAGGGCCCAGGGTAATGCCTTGCGTCGCAGCCATGAAGACAACGGCAGCAGGGAGATAGATGGCGGTGCTGTTATTAGGTCAGTCTTGTGTCGTAAAGATTTATAAGGCAGCAACTTACCCGTCCATGTTAATCAGGCAGCCCAGAGGACAGGTAAATTTGTAGATGGTGGACGGAATACCCCGGTCCTTGGCGCATCGAAGAGTGACCGACAAAGTGGCAGCAGACGAAGCAGTTCCCCATGCAGTGACCCAGGCAGGCGAGATCTTGAGCCAGTACGAGTAGGCATTCATCCTGGTGAAGGCGAAGAATATGATAGGCACGATGATCAGGATGTGGATGAGCATGGTGGACAGGGTGGCTCCGATGAGAAGACCCAGATTCTTGCCGATCTCGCCAATGTCAAGCTTCATCAGGTTGGGCAAAATCAGGAAGAAGACGCCGATAGGGGCCACCGCGATGAGGAATTTGATGATCTTGGTGATCATACGTTCAATCTCCTCGGTAACGCGAACGATGGGCGAGCGAGGGGATTCAATGAGGTATCCGACGATGATGGCAGTGATAATGACTGCCAGTAATTCGTCTTCGGCCAATGCCTTGACCACATTCGAGGGGATCAAAGAGAAGAACATATCCTGTACGACCACGGGGATGCTGCGATCATTTTCTTTGAGCTTTTCCTCTTCTTCTTGATCAAGCGGGGTAGTGCCGACCACTGAGTACTGCTTGGTCCAGACGAGGCCCATCATTATACAAGACAGTGTGATGGATATGAGAGTGGTGATGATGTAGTATCCGACAGTCCATCTCGCGAGAAGGGAACCCCCGTTGCTCATCTCCCGGAGTCTGGTCACAGCAAGCAACATAGAGCAGACAATCAAGGGAAGGACTGCAACTGGTCAGCGACCGACTCTGGCCGAAGAAGCTATTGCTGGCTTCAAGTCAACGGGGAACTTACCAACTGCCTTGAGGGCTCTTAGCCACATGTTGCCAATAATACCAACAAGGATGGGAGCAGCCTCCGGAATATCGTCGACCTGAGTAGCGACGACCACGCCGATGGCGATAGCGAGCAGGGCGGCTACGATGATTTGAAGAGCTGAGCCGGGTTCTTTGAAACTATGCCACCACGGCTTCTTTACAATCTCCTCCTCGGCATGGTCGTGAGGAATGTCGCTGCTGGAGTTGGTAGGCACCTGTACCGGGTGTGCCTCGGACACATCCTTGAACTCATCTTTGGTGGCCATTGCAAGAACAGCAAGCTTGGCTTGAGTTTCAAAGACTAGAGACAAGGCAGGACCGTAGAGAGGCTTTGGCAAAAGACGGAATGGAGAAGAGCACTGTCACTACAATTCCTGGTCAAACGTCAAGAGCACGCCTCAGCTTTTATACCTCATGGGCACTCTCTATCGCCAAGCCAAGCTGACTACATGGGAGCAGATGTTGCGGAGCATCAAGAGATTCTGTCAAGAGAGTGACACCAGGGAATGGATGAAGTGCCCAGAGAATCGCGTGCCGAAACCAGCAAAGATGCGACACATCGAAAGAAACACTCGAGCTTGGCCTGGCTAAGAAGAGAAGGTGAGAATTACGAAATTCTTTCTCCATCGCCAAGACAACAAGCATCAACTCCTTGGTCTTGATGACCTGGTAGCTCGGGTAAGCCGACTCAGAGTCAGTTGTTGGCAGACATTGTGGAGAAGACCAAGGAGTACTGGTTGATTGAGAGTTAGGATTTGCCCGAGGAGGCGACGATGCCAAGAGAAAGTGCAAGCGGACGAGTCGCTCGAAAGAAGAGCCAAGAGAGCCAAGAAGTCGAGGCACTATTCCAGCCCATAACATGTTGTACATTCTCCCCAAGCCAAGCCGCCACACACGACAGAGTACCATGCATTACTAGGATGAGCTCCATGCCGCAGAGATGGGGATTGCACAGACGGGGCATGAGTGCTGGTGTTATCTAGCCAAGCACGCCGTACATTCTAAGTTGTTGCATGTTTTACGAAATACCAAGAGTGATAACGCAGTGCCGAGACTTGCTCAAGTCCCCGCGTATCTCAACGAGAGATAAGGTGTCAGGGATCTGGCTCGCTGGTTGATGCTGGAGATAGCAATCATCCAGCGATGATAGCTTACTTCGTGAAAGCAGCATCACGTCAATCAACAACCCACCAGAAGCGAATGAGCGATGTGGCGTGCTTAGCTACTCGACTAGCGATACTATAAACGCAGGATGACTAACGGCATTACCTGGTGGCTAAACTCAGTTCTCGTACCTGAAGCGGTAAATGAGTTAGTTGTCTCGCCATCATGCCGTCGGACAAGAGCACACCACGATAGGAGCCGGGGAGGCATAGGACGAATGAGAAGGTACTTAGGGCCGGTAGGTTCAATGATATGAGCAACGGCTTCGTCAATACAGGGCTACGGTACTCTCGCTCCCGAAGCACCAGCTCACCAATTCTGAATCAGCGGTCTCCAACAAGCCCGAGAATGGGTATTCACGTCTCCACCTTAGGAGTTGAAGCAAGGATTTCGGTGTGCCTGTTCATGTTTCCCCTTGGGGTGGAACTCTGAGCTGGACCCTGGCACCGTTTTCCTTGCAACCAAATTTGGGGGTTGTTCTCCGTAGCTTTTGCTCCAACCGCGCTCCTAATCTGTGGGCTATAGGGCGATTGTTCAGGAAGTCTCTGATTCCCCTGACCTCTAATTTTTGGCCAGACATCCTCATCAGCTATCGAATTTCTCTCAGCATCAGATTGCAATAGTATATTGCCTAGATGGCTTTCATGTGGATATATCTTTTGCCCCGTTCTCTTGGCTGACCGTGTCTTGGATCATCACGCGGACGATTGCTACGTTCCATCGAGGATCCATGCCACCCATTGCCTCGGAACGATCTCATGCAAAAGCAAGACTTCCAACTCCTTAATCTGGTTCCAAGTCGTACGCCGTCAGGTACTACCGCGATTGTACAGAGTATGTAGGGACTTTTTGGAAGGCAGCGTCAGGAGATAACCGGGCATGACATGGATCCTTACAATTGCCGCATGAAGCGATTAAGCATAACCGGACTCAGGTTCCGAGCGAATCAATCATCGCAGAGGCAGAAACAGGCAATCTGCCTGTATCCTACGCACTAAGTAGCCGGTTTAGAGTACCTCACTAGCTTCCGTGCAAACGCCTGCTACCCCAAAAAAGAAAAGGTTCTGGAAACTTACTCAGAAGAGTCGACGACGCCTTATGTCGACATTTTGGGGGCCACCTGTATTTCGGACAAAACGACAATGAGCAGTCCCCCCCTCGAGCGGTGCGCGCCAACCTCAAGATTCCGATACCTCGTTTCGTCTTGCTCCAGCTCAGCGCTATATTCATCGCAACGAGGGATATTTGCGAATGTCCATGGGTGTTGGAGCCTATCCCTCTATAGCTGAATGTCCGGCCGATGCTACGGTCAACGTTCGACACGAGCCTCTTCGCTTTGGAGACATAGCGTATTATCCCAGGCAATTAAAGCGAATATGCCTTCACCCCGCAGAGCATCGACTTATTACGTTTAAATATCCACTTGAGCCCACTGAATAAAATAGGTGAAAAGAATGGCTTGATCATTGTCAAACGCATCCAACCTAAAGCTACCTGATGGCGCATCAGTGCATCCTGTTTCTCTCCGCAGAATATGTCTACACCAGGGTACTGACAGCCGATGGAGAGAGGCAGCGCGAGGGCATCTGATGCGATAGCAAAGAGAACAACCTTGAAGGTCAGTATCTCATCTGCGGGCGTCAGTGTGCTTGGCGAGTAGTGAGATTGGGAACTGATCATTCCACGAAGGGCATGTGGGAAAGTCTTGGAAAAGTCTTGGGAGATAGATGGAAAGGCTTGGAGGAGGATGGTTGGTTGGGGAGTTGGAAAGCTTGGTATTGGGGTCATAATCGCAGGCGTTCAAATTGCAACGCCAATCCGCTCATAGCCGTCTCTGGCCTTTGTCTTTTGCCCCTCCCCCAGACGAAGGCCAAGAAGATAATATGCTGCTGATTGGATCCCCCGCAACGCAGGGAGGTTTCTTGTTCCTTCTAAGATGGCAAGCTGGGACTGTACGTAATGGAATACCAACAATCAGCAACTTCTCCGCAATTTCCTGGAGTTGAGACAAGCTCGGATATGTATGTGGAGGAGAAAGCTTATGAAGAGCGTCTTGTTGTGTAAGACGAATGTTGGTTGTCGTTTATAAGGTTCAGTCAGGTTTACGACAAACCCACGTTTGTTAGTGCATGACTAGCGGCAGACCATGACCCCCCCCCCCCCCCCCCCCCCCCCCGAGAATCAACCATGGCGGCTCGAAGGAGGGAGGTAGGGAGGACATGAACAGTGCGGCAGTCCTGATACTGCTTCCCCGTTACGTGATGATTTGCCCATGGAACGAATAGGACTTTTGATGCCCTGGCTTAGTAGGTAGGTTGCTCCCGACTTGTCACCGGAACTCAATAGCTACCAATTTCTGTCGAATTCCCCCTGGCGAATCCATACCCAGATCACGCGAGCTTTGGCCAGGTACATTGGAGAAGAAGCCAACTGTCTACTCCGTATGACTGATGCCCGTCCATAACTGCGCTCCTTTCAACCTGAGCCTGGCAGATCTAGTCGGACCATCCTTTGTCACGATTATTTGACTAAAAGATTTGCGAAAATGTCTTGGCTAAATTCGGGTAGTTTGGCTTCTGCTGTTTTTGTTCTTTTTCTCGACGGGCCATAACGAGTCCCTATTGAGGGCTTCTTGCCCATTGTCAATCATGTTCAGGTGACATGATTAGGGGAGGCATGGTCTCGTTTGTCAAGATATGGAATATATCTCTAGATCACGTCCTTTGAGGGAAGAAGATGAAAGAAGCTTCGGGTGATGAGTGTATTCTTGGCATAGACTCTATCTCGGCGATACACAGCTGCGAATATACCTAATGATAGGTATGTACGTAGTATGTTATTGACGTTAAGAGTTGCCTAGACAATTACCTACCTAGGTAGGGCTAATCATCTCTACTAGGTATCTAGAGCTGGAATTGTCCCCAATGTTTTCAAGGTTTTGAGGTGCAACGACGCACAATAGCTAAGACACAGGCTGACGGTACAAACGGCACAAACGGCGCATTGTGCGCTTGACTGTTTTAGGATTAGCTCCCGCTGCTCTGCCGGTAGGTACATACCATATTCACCTTCCGCTGATCGAGGAGAAGGTGCAGTCGGTAGGTCAATATTGGGCAGGTTCTGAATAAAGAAAAGAAGCAGAAACCCAGACATGAGCTTTTCTTCTCTGGCATCACTCTTTTGGTCTCACAGCAGTCAACATGGCTTTTATATGATCAAAACGTGAGGTACAACAAGAAAGTCATCGCCAATATTAAATTGCACTAGTGACAAAGCATCATGACGAGAGAGTCATCGTTTGCGACATTTGTGCGGTTTTTGGCCACGATGCAATGCAATTAAATACTAGCCATGGAAGTAACTCGATACAGCTAAAAATCATCAACTCTACATTCACAGGATTTAACATCATTGTTTATTCTCTTTTTTCTTTAGCCCAAAACAGAAACACCTGGCAAACGCTCGTGCTGCTCAATCACTCAAGGTGAATACAGAACAGAAACATTCTTCACCAAGCACACTTGTCATCCTATATTTCATCACATCACAACACACTAAGCTCAACTGTGAAACACTCCAAAAATGGTGTCCACGGAAACTGTTGTCACGACCTCCTATCTCCTCGGGAACCTGCACTGCCCGACTTGTGTCACTTTGATTCGCTCCCTCCTACACGATGCCTTTGGCGACAATGTACTCTGGGTTTCCCCAAATCTCGTTACCTCCGTTGTTACAGTCGAGCATAAAGAGAACTCCTCGGCTTCGGTTGCCAGCATGCAAAGGGTACTTCAAGACGCTGGCTTCGAAGTCTGCGGTCTCAATACAACCGCCACAACTGCCAATGATCTCTATCGCACGTCCCAGGTTGAAGGGGAGAGTAGCCGTGTCCCCGAACATTCAGATGGCTGGTTGGATTCATTCTTTCACTTTTGGCGCCCACAAGTATCACCTCTGGCGATAGAGGCCGCTCGTGCTGCTCACCTCGAAAATTGTGAAGCATGTAAATCCGAGAAAATCCCCGGAAAGTCACCATCTGATGATAAAAGAGAACTGTTTCAGGTTTCTTCTGTCGTTCCCGATACCCCTACCAGACGTTCTTCTCTGCCATATCCCCTCCAAAAGGTGGTTACAGGAACATCCCCCACTCCATCATGGCGAGTTACACTGTCCGTTGGCGGCATGACTTGTGCTGTTTGTGTCAACACAATCACGCAGGAGATGGATAAGTTTCCCTGGGTCACAAAGGTCGCTGTCAACCTTGTTTCCAACAGCGCAACCATCGAATATACAGGTGGCGATCGAGCACAAGAGATTGTTGATGCAGTTGAGGACCTCGGATACGATGCTGCAATCGACGAGGTTGTCAATCTACAAGGGAAAAGAGTTCAGGCTGATGAGCGCGAGGTCGAAGTGAGTGTCGACGGCATATTTTGCCAGCGATGTCCAGAGCGAATCGTCACAACCCTCAAGGCTCTTGCTCCAGGTCGACTTCAAATCTTCCAGGAGCCCACCATACAGAATCCTATTCTAAGACTCCGATATACACCCAACGCTCCTATATTTACAATCAGGCAGATCTTGCAGGCCATTGAAGCAGCCGACGACTCTCTCAAAGCCTCCATCTACCATCACCCCACACTCGAGGAACGATCTCGAACTATCAGAGCCAAGCATCAGCAAGCTCTGTTGTATCGTGTGATTCTTACCCTCATTTTTGCTGTCCCTACCTTTGTTCTCGGCATAGTTTACATGAGCCTACTGCCAGATTCCAACCACGAAAAGATGTACCTCATGGCACCTTGGGTTTCCGGGCTCAGCCGCCTTGATATTAGTCTTTTCGCGCTTGCTACGCCGGTGTACTTCTTTGCCGCTGATGTGTTTCACGTACGAGCAATCAAAGAAGTTCGGACAATGTGGCGAAGGGGAAGCCGCATGCCTTTGATTCAGCGCTTTTACAGATTTGGTAGCATGAATATGCTTGTTTCACTGGGAACAAGCATAGCCTATTTCTCCTCAGTCGCACAGATGATTGCCGCAGGGGCATCTCGGAGAGAGCATCATAAATCTAAAGCCGAAATGTATTTTGACTCTGTCGTTTTCCTGACGCTGTTCCTTCTCCTAGGAAGGCTCATCGAGGCGTACAGTAAATCCAAGACTGGCGATGCAGTCGAAATGCTAGGCAAGCTTCGTCCAACGACAGCTCTCCTCCTTGAAAAGGACAAGGCTGGGGGCCAGATCACTAGCACCGTGCCTGTTGATCAACTTGACTCTGGAGACATAATTCGTGTGCCTCATGGCGCATCCCCTGCTGCCGATGGTATTCTTGTCAGTGGAGAAACCAACTTTGACGAATCGAGCCTCACTGGAGAATCTCGACTCATCAAGAAGACAGAAGGAGACCAAATCTTTGCTGGGACAATCAATAAGGCAGCAGCCGTTACCATGCGTGTCACGGGCGCCTCCGGGCAATCGATGCTAGACCAGATCGTTCAAGTTGTGCGAGAAGGTCAGACAAAACGAGCACCAATTGAACAGATCGCCGACCTTCTGACCGCCTATTTCGTTCCCGTCATCACTCTTATAGCAATCCTCACTTGGATCATCTGGATGGTGCTTGGGTTTTCCGGCAAGGTCCCAGAACACGAAGAGTCCTCTGATGGCGACTCGGTAGTGTTTGCCCTCCAGTTTGCCATTGCCGTTTTTGTTGTTGCTTGCCCTTGTGGCCTCGCACTTGCAGCACCCACAGCCATCTTTGTAGGTGGAGGTCTTGCGGCTAAGCACGGTATTCTCGCCAAAGGTGGTGGTGAGGCGTTTGAGAAGGCGAGCAAGATTGATTGCGTCGTCTTTGACAAGACAGGTACTCTCACCGAGGGAGGACAGCCGAAAATCACCGATTCTGTACTCTTCCCTGACACTTCGTCAAGTGAAGAGGAACGCAGCACTTTTCTGTCAGCACTCAAGGCTGTGGAAGAGAGCAGCAGCCATCCTATAGCCAAAGCGATCGTCTCCTTCTGCGGTGACGCTCCGGCTAGTAATGTTCATAATCTCGAGGAGTTGGCTGGAAGGGGTATGAAAGCCTCATTTGAGGGCTTTGACAACCAAGAGATGGACATGATTATCGGCAACGAACTTCTCATGCGAGAATTTTCAGTAAATTTATCGCCTCACATCACTCCACTTCTCGATACCTGGAAATCCGAAGCCAAGTCAGTTGCTATAATCGCCACGAAAGTATCATCCGCCGATGCCTGGACACTTGCCGCAGCGTTGTCCATCTCGGATCCGATCCGTCGTGAGACCATTCCTGTCATCCGAGCGTTAATTTCTCGTGGTATTCAGGTATGGATGTTGTCTGGTGACAACGTCACCACCGCCCGCGCGGTGGCGCAGCGCGTTGGCATACCCTCGTCTAATGTCCTGGCTGAGGTTCTCCCATCGGACAAGGCAGCTAAGATCTCATCTCTCCAAGCCTCTCTACACGCACGCGGCTCAACGACCAAACGCGCTACTATCGCCATGGTCGGCGACGGGATCAACGACTCCCCCGCGCTCACGACGGCCGATGTGGGCATCGCCATAGGAACGGGAAGCGACGTAGCCATTAGCAGTGCGGCATTCGTGCTTGCAACGTCACAGCTTACGGCTGTAGTCACGCTCTTGGATCTCAGCCGCGCCGTCTTTGGACGGATTCGTGTCAACTTTGCGTGGGCACTTGTGTACAACATGCTTGCTGTGCCCGTTGCGGCTGGGTGCTTCTATGCGGTTAAGACTTCAAGTGGAGAACGTGTAAGGCTGGATCCGGTGTGGGCGGCTCTCGCGATGGCTCTATCAAGCATCAGTGTGGTGTTGAGCAGCCTGAGCCTTCGGGTTCGGGTTCCTGGAGTGGGATTTCGCTCTCGCAAGGTTGAAATGGAGGAGTAGTATTAGGAACAGCGGTAGTGGTAGCGGTAGTGGTAGTGGTAGTGGTATTGGCAGTGTCAGTGTCAGTGTTGGCAGTGCCTAATGGTGTAGCTGCGTATTATGCCATCGCTTAGATAGTACGAGCTCAGCCTCAAGAATCTGAAATTCAGGGTTCTCTTAGATATGCACAGCTTACTCTTAGGCTCTCACGCACCTCGTGCCATGCATATGCCATGTTGCCAATCTCATGTGGTGAACCAATGGACGGATTCTCGCAATTACCCCGTCTCGAAAACTTTGCCCAATGTGATTCTCCTTCGGTCCCGGCGGAGGTTACAAAGAATATGTCATTCACACCATTTTGATTTTCGTTGGTGTGAGCTGTGAGCCGTTGCTCGTCCGAGGGATCCGTGCAAGCCGTGATGACTTCACAGCCACGATCGATTAAATCTGTCCTCACTCAATTGAGCCGGTGCCGTTGCATTATGGAGCATTGCCGACTTAGAGAGTACACAATATGTATACTACGTATGTACAAATGATTTAAAACATGGTTTAATTGAGCAAACTAAAAATATAACACGTTGAGGTTGAGTAGAGATAAGAGTTCAAAACACGTTTCATTGCGAATGAAACATGACGAGGTTCATGCACTCATCAACCTCGTATCAAGTAAAGCAAACTCCATAAAACAAGCTCTACTCGTATTTGTCCGCCACCCGCATACGCAACCGTCTCCATTATGTATGTACAGTAGACACCCCCTGGGGCTCTTGAGTGCGCAATCAAGTATTTTCACTTGAGTCATTCAAGAAAAATGCACTATAATGCAATGTAATTTCACACACACTCGCTCTCTCTGTAGTAATTGCATTCGGCAGTGTTTGTTTGCTTACGTCTCTGATCCTCCATTGGACTCGTCAAAATCCGAAATCGAAGGATTTGACTGTTTGCAGTAGAAACGATTACGTGATTGGTCAAAGCCCATACCAAGTAAGCCTAGGTACCAAATTTGGTAACTGGCCCCAAACTGTAGGGGAGGACCCTGTAAAGGCGCATCATCAGGCATAAGGAAGGGCTTATTCTAAGGCACTACCTTACCTAACCCTCCATAGGTACCAACACTGACTTACACACATTCACTGTAAGAAAATGGCTTGCAGTTAACCTCGCAAGGATGAATCCATGGATGGCACAGCACAGCACAGCACAGCACAGTAGAGGCATGGCACTACTATTGATGACTCAACACTGGATTGGAGACAGTTCGCGGCATATCGCCCGATTTGTATTGCAAGGACTAATAATACTAATTTGCAGTTTGGTATCTGTATTGTTCTTAGATGTTGTAGTTGTTGGTTGGGCCCCCAAAGATGTATGCCCCATTAAATAACTCCATGATCCAAATCCTACCAAAATGTGGCAGTGTATGATGCCTACTCCTTATCCTGATCCTATTCCCATTCCCATTCCCATTCCCATTCCCCCATCATGTATACCCAATAGCAATCGTGGGGCGTAATACTTTGTAGAGGCCGTCAAACAACATCGATGCTGCGTAATCCCGAAACGATCCAACCTAGTCCCGTGACAGTGACCCAATAGTAATAATGCACACGCCCCCTTATCCCCGGGGAGGCTTCTGTCTTTCATGCAAGCCACAATAAACGCCGGTCTTTCAGTGGAAAGACTGTAGAGTAGAAAAGTAAACAAAGTGGTTGTAATAGAACAAAGGGAATAATGCCGAGCGGCTTGCCGGCCAACTCATAATGTATCTGGTTCTCTTAAGAAAACAGATGGAGAAGTTTCAAAAGTAAAATAAAAATAAAATCAATAACCAACGCCATGCCAAGGTTTCTTTTTCGATGCGAAAAGTAACGGATGCAAAGACCGATGTAGTGATGCCAAACAGCGGTCCGTGTAACGCCAAGACTATGCATTAGGTAGGTGTCGAGCGCGGGCCAGATCGTGGGTAGCTATTTATCGCACAGCGACGCTACCACCGAGAAGACGACCCCACATGCCGCGCCTTGAGCGCTGCTGCTGATGCTGATGTTGCTGCTGCTTCTTGGATGATGAGGTCTCATGGAGTTGCTGGTACTGTTGGTACTCATCGGCAGTGATCTCATAAGGAAGCATGCGGCCAGCAGGCATGTGAGCCTTGGGGTAGTCAACATCAGGAACGATCTGGACGGGCGAGTCGTAGAGACTGCCTTGTTGAGACTCGTAGTAGTAAGGCTCAGGCTCGGAGGGCTCGAGAGGAGTGGTAGCTTGTGAGTAAGCGCGGCCAGAGGAGACAGATGAGGCGTAAGAGCTAGAAGAGCTGCTGTAGCTGAGACCAGGAGGAGTGAAGTTTCCAGAAAGGTTTCGTGCGTGCTCGGGTGTTGATCCTCGAGAGCGAGAGTGACCGCGAGAAGAGGCAGGGCTGGGATATCGGGTGGAGGCGGCATAGAGCTCCTTCTGTCGTCGCTTCTCCTCACGGTGTCGGATCTTCCTGGCATGTCGCTCGGCAATCTTGTGGCGGAGGGGCTCAAGGAAGTCGTCGAGGTCACGGTAAAGGTCCTTCTCGGTAATTCGAAGATCCCACTCAAGAAGGAAGAGAAGCTGCTTCTCCATAAGGTTGACCTCGGTGCGGCTGAAGCCAAAGCTGTAGCACTCGGTGGTGATGTGGCTGTAGTTGGCCCAGTGCTTGTTCTTGGGTGAGCTATCGTTGAGGTACTTGGCAGAGAGAATCAAAGCAGCAAGGAAGATGCGGTGGGCGGTGCATCGCAGACCACGAGCCATGGGCTGGAGCTTCGACTTTAGGCGACCGAGGTAGACCAGTGTTGACATGAGAGTTGGGACCTGGACGTTGGAAGAGACGACGAGCTGTGTGATGAACTCCTCCAGGGTGGGGAGAGCTCCGTCTTCGGATCGAACGGTTCGGGGCTCGGGGCTCCTGGGAGGAGTTGGGAGGTTCTGGCGAGGCTCGGCGGGAGCGGGAGGCATGAGAGTCGAGTCGCAGGCAATGACGTTGTGGGCGGCTTGGGCGAGGTATGCGATCATATCGCGACCCACAGGTTGGTAGACGAATTGGTCCAAGGCGGTCTTGTTGAGTTCCTCCATGGTGAGGTATCGTAGTGACGTTGTAGAAGCCATTGTGTGAATGCGGATGTTTGAGGGAGAGGAGGAAAAGAGGTTGTATAAGTGGATGGGAGAGGTTGATAGAGATATACTACACGGGAGGGCGGACCGTGTGTAAGTGAAGAAGGTGGGGTGAGGTTGAGGTGGAGGTTGATAGGCTGTGAACCTTGACCTATTGCAAAAGCAGAGCAAAGCAAAAGCAAAAGCAAAAGCAAAAGCAAAAGGCAGATGATTAATCTCTTGATTGAATGTGACTGGAAAGAGGAACCAGGGGTCAAGCCAGATGAAGGTGCGTGAGGATAGATATATCAAGAGATCAGAGGCTCATGTGAGGACCCTAAGAAACTGGCTTCGTAAGTAATGGAGCTAAGGGTGACGTTTTGGGTGTGAATGTGGAGGATGGATCATGGAGGGGGGGCAGGGGCGTGTCTTTTGGAGGCTGAGCGCCGCGTCTCTGTCTCTAATGCTAATGCTAAGGCTCGCTGAAAAAAACTCCAAGCCCGACAGGGGTTCACAGCGAAAGCGAGCCCAGTGCCACAAGCGGGCTGGGCTGGGCTGGGCTGGGTTGGGTTGGGGCGTGCAGGGTACAGACAGGTAAAGGTACAGGGGGGGTCACTCACTGGGTCGTAGGGGAAGACTTAGTCGGAGAGATGTCTCAAGACTAGGTCAGGTCCAGTTATTCAGTGGACTGCAGCGAGCAATGCAACTAACAAGCTGCTGGGGCGGTCTGGCCGGGAGGGGGGATAAATGCTTGGCTTGGGGTTTCTTTGGTTCGCTGGTGATAGAGCAAGATGCCACTCAAAAACCTGAATAGGTAGGTACAGTACTTCCGGGTGGCGAAAGAGAGCGAGAGCAGACCGTGGCTTGGGAGGAAAAGAAACCTCAAACAGTACAGTAACAGAATGATGATCCCTGTACTGCGTATCGTTGCGTATGTATCTTTGCGTTGCGTTGCGTTGCAGAATGCGGCGTAGCAGGTAGCAAATATCACAATGTCTCGCCGGTTGCTGTGCTGCGTCCGTCTCGGTATTGGCTATGTCTCAGTTTTTTCTTGTTCGTTTTACCGAACAACGAGATTGTAACTGATTATTAGACTAGGTAGGCGTTTGTTTTCAGAAACGTGCCGTGGGTCCTTTGTTTCGATTGATTCTGAGATTAATTAAAATGCCAGAAACAATTAAGCCAGCAACAAGGTCCAGGTCCAAATTCGGTAGCCGCGAATCTAGAGGAGAAGTGCGTGAAATGTACCTGGTGATAATGGATGTCGCTGAGAGCTGTTTCTTTCTGCCGGGTATGGGATAAGGCGTTCGAGGCCCTGCGTTTGGCACGGCGATGAGCGAATAGCGGAAAAAAGAAGATCGACACCTTTCCAAAGCCGCTCAGGAACTGCGCGGACGGGAATAAGATGAAGCGATTTAGACTTTATGTCGCTGTGGCTTGAAGCTCGATCTGGGCGAGATGCGAGTCTAAGTTGACAGCTGTGGGGGGAGGGGACTCGGGAGGCTCTGGGTGCTCTGGAGTGAACCGGAGGAATGGTGGTTAAAGTGAATGATGAACGAACACTCGAGATGACTGAGTTATTTGAAATAGGTGACGTGAGTGGATGATGTCCAAGGCTGGCCGATAGATCAAGATCGGTCTATTGGTGTAGATGTTTGATGGTGATGAGATCTGATGAGATACTCTGGAAAGGAAAGAAGAGTTCAAGAGTTATATAACCAAATGATGGTATCAAGACCGGCTTGACAAGGGAAGGAATATTGGTTATTCGGTTCTTGATTAATCCAGAGGGTCAGGTTGGACTGGAATTTTAAGATTGCATACAAAGGGAGACAGCTTGCACCTCCGCAGAGTATTGAATTGAAGGGTTGAGATGGCGGTTGGCGAGCCTGCACCAAACGAGAACCGATCGATAGGTAGTTGGTTGGTTAGTGGGCGGGGGGATTAATGATGCGAGAATCGTCAAGACTCCTGGTCGGTTCCGTCGAGCTAGGTACCTCAGGTACGTAATTATTGTTGTCCAAGGGATGGGATGGGATGGGATGTGCTGTACCTGCCAGAGGTATGCGGGAATGGATGGTCGAAACGGGCGTGGCAAGACGAGGCAAACGAGAAACAAACACTTTTTTCAATGTATGATCGGCCCCAAGAATTCCAGACGCAACGGGGAGAGAGAGAGAGAGAGAGAGAGAGAGAGAGAGGAGGTGGTGGTGGTGGTGGAGTCGGAGTCGGATTGGGATAGGATGAAGAGTGATAGTAATAATAATCAAAAAAGTCGAGACATGAAACGGAAGCAATGGGCATCTTAATAGTAATACCTGGTCTTGCTCTGTCTACGCGAGAGCCTCGAGATTGTGAAATTCATTGGCTCACTTCACTTGATTACGATGGATGGATTACTAGGTGGGAACCTCTCTGTAGATGCGCTGGGCTGGCTACGAATAGAAGCACAGCTAAGCCCTTTCAGAGGCAGAAGAATCCTCCTCCAACCAAGCAGCAGGATAGAATCTCGAGGCCCATGAACTCAGAACCGCCCAGCAGGACCGTGTATGAGTTTTTAGAAACGTTGAATTCCTCCGGCCAGTAGAATCTCCAGGCTCTGCATCTCTCTAGACGCTGGGGGAGCCAGGGGGCCGGGCTGCCTTGTCCGTGCGTGATTGGCCGCACAAGAAACATCAAACAACGCGAAACTGGCTGCGGGCATTTCTTTGGGCGGCTCTGCATCCCACGATTGGTCGACGTGCAACTTGACTTGAAACCGGGCTATCTGATGCAAAACTGGGGCTGGCTAGACTGGTTAGACTGGCTAGACTGGCAGGCTGGGTTGGTGAGGGGGAGGCAAAGACAAGACGAGAGGCCTTGAAGACACAAAAGATCAAGATTAACGCAACTAGAGTTATTAGTCAAGGACCCTGCATTTCTTCACCTCTTGAACGCGTACCACGAGTTGGATGATCTACAGGGCTCCGAGTAACAAACCCCTCACTCACGTTACAAACATGGTTATAGATATGTTTATCCTGAACATCCATATATATAAGCGCTCATATATAGTACCCTCAGGCATTAAAACAAATGCACCGCCGTTTAACAGAGAATGAATG